ATCTTGGATTTTACAATATTAAACTTCTGGTAGAATCTATCCCATTGTGGCCTGCAATTAGGTAACAACACACTGATGATATACTGCCTCACGGTCTTGATCAGTTGTGGTCATTAAAAATCCCCTGACATTTCTTGGAGCAGTGGAGATTAATCCTGGGGTCCTGACATAATTGCAGTATTTTGCCTGCCTATATGTACCCCCTGTAGTTTTCACTGGACTGAGAGTCTTTTAGCATTACCTGTCCTAAACTATAGCGTAATGTTGGCGTGCACTGTTAAATGACTTCCTTGTTCCAGCCCATTTCAGTGATGATGAGGTGATACTTGTACAGCAGAATAAATTCTGCCCTGACTCACATCCTGTGCAATCCCATCAGAATTCACTGATTGTTGGAATCAAAGGATCTGCATGTTGGGTGGGGGTTATAAATCAGGACACAATTTATCCCGGCAGTTCCGATCCAGAACTATTTTCAGTTTCTAGCTGAATGCACAGAGAGCCACAAACCCAAACCTATGAGCCAAATAGCCACTAGCTTTAAGAGAGTTTAGCTTTTGATATGATACTTCCCCACCTTAATTTGGGAAAATTCCAATGTAGGCAGCTTAGCTTCTCTAGTTTTTAGTCGAGGGCTAAAGAATCAAATATTCAAGAATACCTAAGGTTATGTCTATATGGTGGAAGGCAGCACCATGCCGAGACATGTCATACCCACTCTGGAAATGGATGCAGTGCAGCTGTCTTATTGCAAAGCACCAGTCAGCTCTGCTCAGAGCCTTAATTGGCATGTTCACAGTGCCACACAAAGGCAGCTGCCCTGTTTTGGGGTGGAAGCTAGCATATACAGAGCTGGCCTGGCACATGTCATCCCAATGCTACCTTGCACCATGAAGGCAATGCCCTAAGGAATGTAGGAGCTAAGTCTTATTTTGAAAAGTGGACTAGCCTCTTTGGAGTCTCAGTGCAAGTCAGTGAGACAGAGGGGCACGTTTTTAAAGGTATTTAGATATCTAAAATGATGGAGATAAGTGCTATGTGGGATATTCAAAAGTGGCCACTGCTACTGCTTTTGCTTCTAGGCACCTAAGCACTTTTGCAAGTCTCCCAAGGCTCCTGGCTGCATCTTGAGATACCTTAATACTTCTTAAACATGGGCTTTATATTCTGAAAATCACTTGGCATCTTCTGAAAATTTCACCTACGTTTTCAGCAGCATCACCTAAACAGGGACTGCCACCTCCTCAGCCTGGGATCCAATACAATACAGCAGAGCTGCATTTTCCAAATGGCACTGACTTGGCATCTTCCACTCCAGGTTTTGTGTTAGCATTTTCCTGTGCAGCAGCATGAAGAAAGAAGGTCTCTTAGGGCCTAATCCAAAGCCTGCTGAAGTCAACAAGTGCCTTTGCACTCTCTCCTGTGCACTCTGGATCAAGTCCTTGGTGCACAGATGTTGGGTAAAGGAGGTTGGATTGGGCTAAAGTATTATCACATGATCAGAGACCAAAAGATGAACTTCATTGGCACCAGAAGCCCCTTCATGCTCCCTAAGAGGTGAACTCATGATATGGCCCATGATTCAAGATGTGCTGAATTATAAACTGTACCCGATCCACAGAGGTAACAATACCAGTCATTCTGCAGGATGTTTAAGTTCCCTCCTATCTGATTTTACTGAGGATGCAAATCCCAGTGCTTTTTCACGTGTCCCATATTCCTGATCTCCTGCGGCTCCATAAATATCTCCCTCTCCTTGTTTGTTGTGATGTTTCTTGGCAGCCAAGCCTTTGTTGCTGCAGAGAGAAGTCAGTTGACAAAAATTCCTCATTCAACCCGGTCTCTTGCTGCCTTTTAAACACGCTTGCTGGTTTTCAGTCTCTTGCAGCGCAGCGTCTCGTAATTTCACTGGAGCCAGGTGACATCACAGGCATAAGTTATGAGATACTCTTGCCTGCTGGCTAGTGGGTGATGAAAACAAGTATCCACATATACCAAAAATAAATGACATCCAACTGCAGTGGAGAGAGCTGCTTTCCCAGTGAAGACTTCTGGTATCCATATAAATCATGAAAGCTAATGGCGTCACCCGCACACCCTTCCGGCCCGCCTGCTGGACGGATGAAATCAACCTTAGAGTGGCTATACCTCCCCAAGTCTGCCCTCACAATTAAGTGGACTAGTAGACAACACAGTAGCTTAACTGGAACTGTTCCTCTCTCTCAATATCTCCCACCTCCGTGTGTGGAAGCTCTGTCTCCCCCGCATCCCCAGATATTGCACCATCCAGCCTGGTGGAATATATACTGCCAGGATCTTAGCACTGCCTTCCCAGCCTCTAACACAGAGATTTGCCTCCCACAGGCTGTGTGAAAGACAGCAATTGCTGTGGGGAGACGGGCCTCCACTATAAGTGTCAGCCACATAGTCAATCTTGCTTCAGTTTAATAAGGAAAGTTTGCTTTCAGGCAACACCTTTTCTCCTTTGAGATCAAAATCAAAACTGCCACAAGTCCTGGGCTTTAAACCCATGTTGTTGGGTGTCTTTGGGAAGTCATTGCCCACCTGTGCCTCAGTTTCCCTGTCAGAAAACCTATGCGGATAATGCTACTTCATGAGCAGAGGGGAAGGTGTTAAGGGACAATGTCAGGCTCCTAGTATTCCTATCCCTCTTCCAAGAAGATGCTCAGAATAAAACCAGCAATATTCAGATTAAAGAGGTCTCACCAGAGGGATAGGAGCATGAAATTATTAGTCATGTTATCAGTGTGAAGATGATCAAAAGATAAGCCACTGAAAAAGCTGTTAACAGAGAATGGTTCTTGAGCACAACGGTATTAACAGTGTCAATATAGAAGGTTTCTGGTAAAGAAGAAAATTGCCAATACAGAGCTCAACAGGTTTCCGTTGACATTTTTTTCACAGGCAAAAAAGGCCCAGACCAGAAACACCATTGTGGGTAAAGCTCCCAACTGCAACAGCAAACTGTGGCCCTGCTCCATCATGCCTGGAGCACACAGCTGCCCTGGGAAAGGGAGATCATGCAGCACCAGGGAACAGCTGGGGGAGCTGAACTCCCTGCCAGGTCTCCTCTCGGCTGGAATGGGCTCTATTTTTGCAAATGATTCTCCTTAAGGGAGGCAGGGGCAGTGTTTGAACTATCAGATTGGCACTGGAATACGAGCTGTGCGCACCTGCTCTGGATTTATAGGGTATTGCAGTGGGAAAAAGACTAGGCAATAGAGTTTTAGAGAAGGCTGGGTGAGAAAATGTGAGCTGAGTTATGGGAGGTAGAAGCTTGTAATGGTGCATTAAAAAAAAATCCTCTTCATTGAATCAAAGCTACATTACTGAAACCCTTTCAGACCAGTCAGCTCCACTTCTATTCCTGTATATCCTGATCCATGCATCCTTTTTGACAGCCTCATGGAAAGATACAAGCTTCAAATAAATAACAAGATATTAAAAGGATAGCCTCTACCGATCCCGTGTCATATGAGACTTGCTTCAATTAATGTGCTTACTTGACTGAATGCAAGTAAGGATGGAGGTAGTATCCAGTGTATTACTACAGTGGATCACTGCAAGTGGTTGGAGCTGTAACTCGGGGCAGTTGTGAATACCAGACTGCCAAATACACCCTAACAAATTGCATGATATGTGGAATCTCAGGCTTTGAAACGGGAAGCACAGAAGCAGACTCCGAAACAACTTGAGCTCCAGCTTTGTCTCCTTCGTTTACCAGGGACCTTGTGCTACAGCACACAGAGACACCTAGTGGCTGAACATTATACTGAATGGCAGCTTTAATAGGCCCAGCAGATACTCTCTGTTCTCATATTTATGCTCACTAGTCAGGGCCCAGCAGAAAATAGAGGTTTCCAAACAGACTCGTCTGACATTAGGCATCTTCAGGAACCTCAGGTTTATGCCTTTATCATATGCACTGGATCCTATTTGCTATTGTGAAAGAGATGCCAAGGTGTGGCACAAGACTTCTTGCATTGGGGCTTCTATAAAAGAGCTTGCTCCCATTAATACAAAACACCACATATTTTCAGAGTCGCAAGCAATCTTGGCATCCATACACACTACCAATGACTCTTTGTAGCAATCCACACTTATAGCAAGACAGGTGTAAGTCAAATGGGCCGTGATCAGCCTCATTCTTTGTACCACAATCTTCCAGCATGTCACAGCACAAGACCCCACCAAGAAGTACTTGATTCTCCTGTCCCTCATCTGATAAGGAAAGGGGACTTCTTAACATATATATACCTTTCTCAGATTATTGTCCACTAAAATCTTCTCCCCTCTACAGTTAATCTTGATTTCAATGGAGCTGAGCTAACGTAACAGGGAAGGGAATTTGGCATGTTACCTGTAATCCCAACACCTTTCAAGTCGATTTTTCCGAAGCCCCCCTCCCATCTGCCACCCCACTGTGTGTAAGCAAACGCCCAATGTTAAAAATCTGCCGTTGAACTTGCTGGGGTTTGTAGCAGCAAACACTGGCCAGTACGGCAGAGACATCACCGAATAGCTATGTGGAGGGTTCTATTTTTAAACCTCTGACTTGGCTACCTATTAACTGCTTTTACTCCTGGGACGATGCACAGAGATTCCTCTACATTTGTACAATGCAACAGGCCTGATTCCTGCCTTTTAACCTTTACGATTTGTTTTCATCTCCAAGAGGGAGAATTGTACCCCCTGGACCATATTTCAAGGCCCAGCTATGTTAGTTTTGGACAAGCCTAGTGCTGTTTCATACTTTGCACTGGCATGGCCTTGTTATGCCAGCTGCTTAATAACAACACACCTGTATGCAAGCTGGGTCTGGGGGCTGTAAGGCAACTGGGCAGTGGTCCTAATTATTACAGGGTGACACAACAGTGTCGGCATGACCTCATGGGTTTACTTTAGCCGGATGATCTGACATGACGGAGAGCACATGTTTTCGCAGCTGTCCCAACCACGCTCCAGGAGGCCAAGCATACCTGTGTTCTTCCCCTCCAGGCTCAGAGATGGACACCTGTGTGATGGAATGGGAGGCATCCGCAGATCCTCAGCAAAGTCACTACTCTTCCCTTTTGATCCTTATACAGTTTTTCTCCTAGGGAAAAAAAAAGAGAGAAAAGGGATTTAGTTATTTTTTTATTGATTTAAAGGTTCTTGATTGTTTTGGGGCTTTTTAACCCAAAGCTTCAGTGTGGTATATTAGAGTGGACCCGAGCCTGGCAGACTCTGTGGCCTCGTTGCAAAAAGCAGATGCACTGGCAAAGGGGAAACATCTTTGTGACAAGCTGAAGGCCCATGCAGGAAAATCTTAGACACATTTATGTAATAATAATAACTCTCCCTCACACAGAACCTTTCAACAGAGGATTAAAAAGTACTTTGCAAATGTTACTGGCCACAGCACTTCTCTGAGGTAGGTACAATTTCCCTTGCTCTATAGAGGGAAACCAAGGCACAGAGAGGTTATTTTTAAGCCTGGATTTTCAAATGCAGCCTTTGCTTTGACTTCTTGATGCTGAATTAAAGGCCATTGATAACCTGACTTTACAGAAGCATCGAACACCTGCTTTCCCCTCTGGCCATAGGTGGACTTGGGGGGTGGGGGGGCAGGATTTTGCACTGTCAAACCAAAGTCCGAGGGGTCTTCAGTTGGGTGCCCAAGAGTTCAAGCAATGATCATTTTTGCAAATAAGTGTCAGAACTGGGATCAAAACCCAGACATTGTGACTCCCTATCTCCAGGTCTAACCCCCGTTTTCCAGTGAGCTGCAGTCACACTAGCTGGGGTACACATTACAAGGCCAATTAATTTTCATGCGTCAGAGAATACCAAACTAAGATCAGAAAGAAACTTGCCCACTCCCCTCCACTGTAGTTAGCATTGACCAATTGCCAGGAGTCTCACACTTTTAATTTTCCACTGTCCTGTGAGGCAGAAGACAGCAGCCAGGACCAGAGGCAGGGAAATAAAAATCTTCCCCATTCCAAAGCTCTGTTGGTCATGAGCATGCTTAGATCAGCTATGTCCTTCCACCGCAATGCAGCATTGGGTTTAGTTCTTCAGGGCCTTGTCCTGTCACAGGTCGAAAAGTCATAAATGACAGAGCTTGCACTTCTCTCAGGGGACCGTTTCACAGCCTATTGAATCTCACCGTTTGGATTTTGTCCCTGATGTCATCTACATTTCCCTTGGCTTATTTTCATTCCATGGTTCCTAATTATCTCCCCTTGTACCACCCTATAGAAGTCCCATCTTGCCTCAGTGTTTAAACCTGTCAGTGCATATGGATGGTTGTAACCTCTTATTAGGCAAATTCATCAATGGAAGGCTCATATATTGCTTGTTCTGTGACTCGATAGAGGACTCTGATCTCTACAGCAAGGTGGTCTGTGATAAGGGGTCATGTCCCTTGTCCGGTGCAGTTATCTGGACACAGTTCCAATGCAGAGCGTCTCCCTTCACAGCAATGGGCTGGAATCACTGTCTGCTAATCAGTGCCCCGGCTTTGCCACTTTTGTACTGACCCTCCAAACTCATTCCCATCCTTGCCTTCTTGCTTGGACCCAGACTTCAGATAGTTCAACTCCCTGTGCCTCCCCCTTCCAGAAAAGATCCAAGATCATTTCTGTGGGCAGCGGGAGCATACTCATGGCTCAGCTGAATCAGAGCCTCTGGGACAGCCACATTTACAGGGGGTTCTTCTGAGCCACGGACTCTGAAATTGGGATTTTCCAGAAAAACATTTTTTTTTTTTGCCTTGGGGTGTCATTTGTTTTAAATAATTTACAGATCTTTGGTCACTGCACATCCACTGTGAGCTGAGACTCACCTCAGCTTCCATCCTGAGTGATGCCACCTAATGCACTGTTCAGCCATTGCAACATATGCACGAAGTAGATGCACCATGAATGTGCTGCTTCTTTGCAACATTTTCCTTCCCAGTAAGAAGGGCATTTTATGAGATTCTTCCCTGTTTGGGAAGTAGTTCCACCCACCTGCATGCCTCTGTTTCCGGGAGATGTTTTCCAGTACGGCTGTTGATCGTATCCATAGGGGCTCAGTTGGGAGGGAAGAGTTTGACATTGCTGTAATGACCCATGCAGACTGTGTGGAAGCAGAGGAAGTTCACATGGAAAGTAGGGATTGTATTGAGGGGGTCGCACTGACAGCCCTGCAGCGGGTTATTGAAGCAAGGGCTGCATGCCGTGGAGGTCATGAGGGCACCGCTAATGGAGGAGTGCTGCTGCTAGCAAGTGCATTGAGCTGCACAGTGTGAAGGGGGAGTAGGAGTGTGTACTGCATGCAAGTCATACTGAGCTGAGCTTGTGTCTTAACATTTCTGTCAGGTCGTGAAGCAGGCACTCATGCGCTTAAATCCTGTTGACTTCAATGGGATTAAAAATCCAAACCTACTTTACACTAGGCCAGCGGTTCTCAATCTGTTTAGAATCAGGGCTCAACAACTTTGTTTGAGTGCGGCAGCATCCTGGCTGAGAGCCACTGTGGTGCTGCCTCAACTGGGGTAATGGCCCACGCACCTCTATTTCTGGCAGGAGCGTGGTGGAGGGTAGGGGTGAAGACTGGGAAGGGCTGCAGCATGAGCCAGGTCTCCTGCCTGCTTTACTGGTCAGAAAACCTAATGAGATCCCACGAGGTGCACACAAGGCACTTTTACCTGGTCACAGCAGCACCCACACTGTGGCACCCCGAGGGGGTTGCATGGCATGCCAGGATGCCCCGGCACCTCCGGTGAGAACCACTGCACTAGGCAAGTGGTTATGTGCTCCGCTGAATGGGGACCTGAATGAATAGGTTATGTCAGATTTGGCAGAAGTAAGATTTTAAGAGGAGCAAAGTGATTAGGCATCTGGCACCCTCAGCATCCCTCATGATCAGGGACCATGTTTTAATGGCTTCTTCCCAACGGGGCCCAGCGCTGAGGTTAATACGCCCTGCCCACTCATTCAGCGTGCGATCCAGCTTAGGAAGGCAGCATTGACAGCTAAAACAGCCAGACCTGGTCAGGCACCGGGTAGGAGTGGGCAGACACAGCTCATTTCCCTCAGTGGCAGGCCCGGTCCTGGCAGGGAAGCGGTACAGATGTACCTCGAGACTTCTCAATCACTCAAGCACTTTTGGAAACATCACCCTACATCTTTCTTCTATGCCATTTTAAACTGAGCTCGGTAACACCCCCAGCAGGGCATTCAAAGTAGCTTTAAAATGTGGTTGGGTTCAGAAAAAGAAACTGTATAAAAGTGACACCTCATTACCACAGACAGACATCTGCCCCACATGTTTCTGGTGAGTCATACCCGTTCACTTTATAGGACCAAAACACAAACACATGTTTTTACTCCTGTCAGCACTGCAAAGCCAGTGCAGCTTGGGCAAAGCAATTCAGAGTCTATGCTGCTTAATGTATCATTATCACAAGCCCCAGAAACAAGAGCATGTAGCTTTTCAAGGGCTCGTCTCACCGAGAGGAAGGGTAGTCATGTTATCACCATTTCACCAAGAAGGAAACAGAGGTACTGAAATATGGAAGGGTTTGTTTCAGGTCACTCAGCAGGTCAGTGAAAGAGTCGAGAGATTTTCCCCCCGCCCCAAGCCTTGATTTCTCAGCTATGGAGTCAGTCTGCCTCCAGCTTCTGGACCTGTGCGCAGCTGACATGGCTCAGCTTCCCATGCAAAAGTAGGTGCAAAAGTAAGACCATCCTCGATCGGAGATAATCACTCTTCTGACCACAGCCCTAGTTTATTACTAACTACACCATAAACAACAATTTTTAGTGCTGCCAATTGCTCAATGAGTTAATTATTTTAGCCTTGCAAGTTAAGTATTAGTGCTGCCACTTAATATACAGGGGAAACTGAGTCACAAAGCGAGGTAGCAAAATCATGGGCTGTGCCAGCTTGAACTGAGCAGGAAGGCTTGGACATACTCAGCCTCTGCAGACTTGATGAGGAATACACAAGATAAAAGAAACAACCAGGAAATGCAGTGTCCTGAATACACAAGGGCATAAGCAAGGGGCTAAGTGCTTTCAGGGGCTAAATGAGCACGCCAGCATTTGGAAGCCATTGCCAGTATTCTTTGGTTGTTTGCACTGGCCAAAAAAGCCACTTGCCTGCAGTAGAGGAAAGTTCAATCTCAGCTGCAGATTATCTTCTACCTGACCCAGGCAGCCTCCTTTTATCCTCCTCCAGGCCTGGCACTGGTTGCAGGGCAGAGTTAGCCCAGACCAGAGACTGTCTTTAACTCCTTCTGTACCAGAGAAAGCCCCATCGCAGCGCAGTTACAGTTAGTGGCACAAGCCAAATCCTGCCCTCGTTGAGTCTTAAAGGTTTGTGCTGGTGAAACACAGAACATCTGGGCTCAGTGTGCTTAATCTCAGTGGGATCACACACCTGACCAGTAGCCTGCACTGATGTGATGGCAGATAGGGCAGCATGACCTGTTGTAAACTAGGAAAACACTTGGGGGATTTTCAGAGGAGTGTGATGGGGGCTGTCCCAAGGCCGGTCACAATATTGGCCCACCCACCTGTCTAGGGCAGTCTGCCCACCTGGTTCATCTGCCATGCCTTTGTTGGACCTTAATTGTTGTTTCTAGGTGGGAGGCTGCCCATTTAATGCCCCGATGCCAAGGGCTTATTACATGACTCCAACATCCTCTTTACCATGTCCCATGCCTCAAAGTAGACACTTACTTAGCCCTCTCCAGGGCCAAACTCTGCCCCTATGCTGGGGCTCTTTCACATGCCCCATAACTGTGTCTCACACTCATGCTACCCTTTTTACTAGGTTACACTCAATCTTGCCCCATCATGGGCCACACACACTCTGCTCTACTCTTCATAGTCCTTCAGGACCACCCACGCTCCCTACTCTCTATGGCCCTTCAGGCTTCAACTCTTGCACTCTTGGTCCTGGCCCTTCACAGACCTTCAGGCCACTCAATTCAGGCCATACTCTATGACGGGGCATCAGGCCTACTGCCTCACACTCTGGGCTGACTCCAGCCCCTGGCGTCTCAACTCGGCCTACAGCCCACTCAGGCCTCAGGTGTCTGTTGACATACCTGGGCCCTTA